CGGTCTTAGTGCAGTTATAATTACTTAAATTGTTTGTTACCTGTTTAAAATGTGGCGTCTTTGGACAAGTACTAATAGTAATAACGAGTGTGATAACAACGCAGACTTTTTCCACTGTAGCGATTCCAATAGCGATGGTGAACAATGCGTGAACATAGAGTATGTTTCAATGTATATAAGAATCTATATCTCAAGTTTGGTTTCAAGGGAAACAAACTATTACAATCAACATCAGATTGGACCGAAATTCCTCTCTCAACTGTACGTAAAATAGTCAAGAACAAACCTTATGAACGCAAGACGCGATGTGATCATTGAAGAAAACAATATACGACTGTTACAAAGCAATGAAATTCCTACAACTGAAATCATAAGGAAGAAATTGAATACTTCCGGCCATAACGTGAGCTGCTGTGACAAAACTCTTCAGAATTGGACAAAGAAACTAGTACTCAGATTTAAAATAATAAACAAACGTCAAACATTCATGGAAAGCAGAAGAGTAATGGAATTGCGTAACAACTACTTAGAACAAATAACTAAATATAGACAAGAACAAGGGCAAATTTTCTATTTGGACAAAACTTGGTATGACACTCACGACACAGTTACGAAAGGGTGGACTAATGGTTCGAGAAGGTATACGCCTAACATGCCTGCAAACAAAGGATCGCGACTAATCAAGAAATTTTCAATGCAAGCTATGACATGACACCCTAAAATAAAAACAAATTTCAACTCTTCCTCCACTGATTTTCAAATGTGTTAGTTTCACTGTAGATTTCGCTCAAGCGACAATACTTACGTGATCAACGTAACGTTTGATCCTTAAGCAATAAGGAGAAATATTTTTCGTTGTAATTTTCATAAAAAAAAATTAGCTTTGAGTTGTTCTGTGCCTCAATATTTGAGTAATATGGAAATCGATTTATCCACGTTCTACGTGAAGAAAATATTAGCAAAAATGGCAACAGTTAGCCTGTTGGAAACATTATAAAGTTCTGATGATTTTTGTTTATTCCTTATATTGATCATCACCTTTTCAATTTTCCGAGGTGGAAAACAAAATTATGAGAGTTAGAAAAAAGTAAACGAAACAACATACATATTGTTTTTTTAACTCCCAGCTCGATGAAAAATTGAATGAATTATAATGAAAAATTATTGTTATCCCGTTGAGGAATCACAAATCTGATCATGAAAAAAAATTATCAACTAATCAATTTGAACGACTGAAAAATTGATGATATACACTTTAAAAAATATGCCGGGATCCATGTCTTGTTGATGTTTAAGCTTTCTTCCTTGCGGTTGTGATCATAACACAAAAAGGTTTTCCAATAATTGACCAATCAGGTACAAACGAACCAGTACCATTTTAAGTTCGCGCATTGCAGCAAGGTAGTTCTCTGTAGTCTACCTCAATATCAGACGAAACGCCAGGCATGAAAACATGCAGAATACGGCTAATAAACACGAAAACATCGGACAATTTTTTCTGCACATCAGACTTGTACGTTTCTTTATGGAATATTTATTAATAAACTAGTTGTCCGCGGCTTTACTCGCGTAGAATTTGGTTTGTCACATTAAGTTTCGTGACAGACCATTTTAAAGAAATAGTTACAATATTTTTTTATCAACCCAAAACTTCAGGTTTCCAACTTCAGAACTGACGAAATTCAATACAATCTTTGCACCCCTATTTTTCTCCCTTGGATGGAAATTCCTGCTTTCCTTTCTTGATGCTTATTTATGCTATACAAAGAACCTACCTGCATATTTCAAGATTCTAGATTCAGTAGCTTCGGCTGTACGTCAATATAAGAGCGGGCAATAGCTAGTAATTTATATTTTTACTTTCAAAATACATTAACTAAAAAAATATGCCAACTGCACTAATTAATGAATAACTTCGAATCGAAATACGTTACCTATAAAGAAATTCGCACAACTAACATAACCGTCAACGACGTCTGCCCTTACGCGTCTGCCCGCGTTCGGGTTGCGTTCTCGGCGATGGCGCTTCATACCTCAGACCGCCCCTCTACCCCCGCGCATCGCCACCATCGTCTTACAATAGATACGACGCGCAATGGTTTTGTGCGTTGCGTCAAGTTATTCTTATTGTTATACCTTTTGAACGATTCGTCCAAATTACTCAGTGTAAAAGACAATGTTTATCTATATTGAATACTTAAAACGACAATTGTATCAATTTTTTTTAACAATTTGACAGATATTCTAAAATTTGCATTGTAAAAAAAGAATCCAATTTAATTGTATTTATGGCTCAGTATTTTGCATATAGTGGCTACCACATGAGAGGTAGATATATGTTATCGCGGACTTTTGTTAAGAACTATTCGAAATAAACAATTTTACTGTACCTATACATTATCTGCATGTAACTCCAATGGTATAGGCAGCGCAAGCCAAGGTAGCTCTCATGGAGCAAGCATTTTTCAGACTTACTTAATACTTATCGTTATATCATGAGGAAAATTACACAAAAGCTCTGTAAATTGTAGCCTATATGTTATTCTGATATATAAGTTGTATTTATGTAAAGTAACATCTAAATCCGTTTAGTCGTTTAGGCGTGAAAGAGTCACAAACTACTACATTTTTACATTCATTCTTACAAACTTTCACATTTATATTAGTATAGATAGATGGATAGATAGTATCGATGACGAGAAACTGCATCTTAGTAACAATCATTACTGCCGTTGTTAGTTATGAAAATGGTTAATGATGAAATTTTCGTGAAAAATATTTTCCATCAATAATTTTTCCATCAATGATTTTTACATCAATTCCTTCAAAATAACAGAAAATACTGTATCTACATGCAGACTCATTCATATTCAGAAAGTAATAAGTTGAATCTATAGACATATTCCTTTTTGATAGCATATGTGTGATAGTTATATAATAATAATAACGTTTATTGTGCAAAATCAAGTTTTATTCAACTGTCGAGTTGTTTTATGATTTGATTGTGAAGCGGGGGCTTTTGAAATATATGCGGATGAAAAATATATTCTTGATCGACGAGTTGATCGTGCATTTCAACCTAACCTAAGTAACAGGCAGCACAATTACTGTGTTATCAACGCCATCTCTGTAATGTAAAGATGAATGCTTACTATAGAATTGAAACATTCCGCAATCAACGATCTTTCTATTGCATAATGAAGTTCCTGCGAACTCAGTCTGTTTGATCAGTTTACTTGCATGTTTACATACTAATGTTTGTTATCAACTGATAAAACTATTTCGTAAACACCTACGATACTTTTACGTTAAATGAATGAAAAATGCGATCTTAAAACTTTTTGTGGAATTCACGAATGAATTCAATAATAATAATAATTGTTTTTATTGATAGGTAAGAAAAAAAATACAATGTATGGCATACAATATATACAATCCACCCACGTACCTATCAAAAGGCAGAATTCAATTTCTGATCTTGTCACGAATGACTCAATCAGAAGTTGCTCTTCCATTCAAGCTCGAAAAACTACATAAAAAATATTGTATATATACAACAGCAAGGTCTCCAGACCTAAGAGTTATGGATACATTCTTATGGGGTCCCCTGAAAAATAGAGTTTATGATCAGAGGAAATATCAAAATATTGAGGACCTTCAACACAGCATTGTTAGAGAGTTCGGAAAATTGAGGAGAAGAGAAATTAATCGTGCAGTGAATAATATTCGAAGAAGGGCACAGTTGTGTTATCATGAACAAGGCCAGCATTTTGAGCATTTGCTGTAATTTACTTTTGTCTTTACATTTTACTTAATTATTGTTATTTGTTCAAAATTCTATTCTATTCTGTCTCCGTATTTTTTCATTGGCTTTCAAACGAACCAAACTCCGTGTGATTTTGATTCAATAACTTGAACATAGTTCGATGTGGTTGTCGTCTTTTGGGGATACAAGTTTAAATACATTTCCTACTCTCTTTTTTCTTAATTCATGAAAGTCATTTTTCGCCAAAAATTCAATGACTTCTACAGTAACAAATTGACAGTCGAATTTAGAAACATCAAAGTCAAAGCCTTTTATGATGAGAATTAATTTTTGAAAAGGTAAAATTTAGTTTTATTCAAAACAGAAAAAATTCAATGTAGCGCCCATAAGAAGAAATGAAGTTGATGATGGTGACCGGAAGACGAAACGTCGTATATTAAATCTGAAAATAACATTATGTAGCAGGGTATCCTTCGAAAGATAAAGCTAGAAAAAAATAAATACCATTTTCCGAAATTTCAGTTTTTTTCGGATATCTCAGGATATACTCGGAATTTCAGAACTTTCTCAACAGCATATTGTTAGTCAGGTGAATGCGCCATTGCCCCAATTCAACCTATCTCTCGTAGTTTCCGAGATCCCAATGGGGAGGATCGAATTTTGAAACACCCTGTATGTCTCAGTTTTCTACCTCTAATATTTTTATGTTAGTTTCATTCATTTTTGAATGAGAATTTTGTCATTATGTCATTATTATGATATATTTTGTGGTTTTCTACCCCTCACTCATTAAGTTTTTCTTGGGTTATTTATGTTTGTTGAAGTTTCCCTCCTTATCTTGCAAGTCGCTATTTTTATTGCTTTCAATTTATTTCCTTCTGTCAATTGTGTTCTTTTTTTTGAAGAATATTCATGTAATTTCATGAAAAAAGTAATGATGTCAGATCTTTAGCATATTGAAGACTCTCCTATTTTTTCTCTGTACTTCTGTACCTAGAACTTTTTCTTCCACTATCATTATCGCTAAAAAACTATCAACTGAAGGTATCCTACTATTACATTTTTCCATAATTTATAATCATGTTTGTCCGATGGTGAACATAATTTGTCGAGAGAAACACTAAAAGACCTCGAAATTTTATTGATGAATTTCCATTTTTAAGGAAAACTTTGTAACTTTTTAATACCTTCTACGATCTCTATACTTTTATTCTATTTATACTGTTTATTTCAGCTTGAATAAAATGCAGATAATGGAAGACGTACGAGAAGGTTGCAATGTCCAGCCCTCCTCTCCCGGACATGCCGAGCAGCGTACTGATGAATCTCAACCGAAATCCGAAACGAATGTTGAAGAAAAACCAAGAGATGAACCTGACGAGGAAGTGAAAACTGAAAACGACAAGGACGTTAAACATATAGATGAAGCCAGAGAGAATGAAGAAGCGGCAGAAATCAAAGCGGAGCCAGAAACAGTGGAGGAGACCTACAGCAATTCCAGCTCTCCGAACGCGGAACCAAGCAAGAGAAAGTTGGAAAACGACGAGTTTCCCGTGAAAAGACTGCGTGCCGAGATCCACGAGAATTTTGCATCCCGCGACAAGATTCTCAACGAATTCATCAACATGGCGGATTGCAACAGCCTGGAGCAACTGAATTCCTACAGCGAACAACTTCTAGCGGAAGTTAAAACCTTGAATGAACTCGCCAAGGAGAAGGAAAGAGAGTGGAACAACATCATCCATCTGAAGAAGCTGAAGGAAGAACTCCTGTTGAGAATGCAGCGGAAAAGGCAACTCTTGCTGATGAACGAGAAGTCAGACTATTCTGATCTGCGTAACGAATCTCAAAACGAACATACTGACGAGCGTTCGAAGAACAGCCTACCCCAGAACTTTCTGAAATCCAACTTAACGAGTCCTAGGTCGGCCTTGCGCATCCCTAGTATCAGCTTGAATGGGAACAACGCCAAAAACCGGAACTTAATGCCGAAACCGCAGCAGAACTCATTAGAAACGAACGGAGCAGCTGACTTGCGTCAAGGAAAACGACTCACCTTGGACGTGCAGTCAATTATTGCTGATTATAGGCAGAGACATCCCGAAGTTGTTCCACGGCGAGGTAGAAGAATTAGGCAGCCCGATGGGTCACACAAATATTCGAATAGTATCTTGAATTTCTCTTCTATGGCATTAGGCAGTGGCTCGCAAGTCAGACAAGGTTCCGATGTCAAAAATGAGCTGAATGTGCTGCTGAACACCATAAATATGGTAAGTTCTGTGAAATGGGTTTGAGATATATTGAATTCCGTTTATAATATTGGTACACAGAATTCCATATAGTTCTCACTGAAACTGTGATTATGAATGTTTCAAAAGATAATTTTGCACTTGCATTTGCATTTGCACGATTGGTTCAACTACTTGGCTCTCTTTCTCCTTAATTTTTAACGTTCATCTTTGATGTGGTGTTACTATATAGTATATACTATTGTAAAACGCTAGCCTTTGTCAATTTGTAGCTATTCGAATGGTCTCTAAAGTTCCATCTTCTGTTCAATTTGGGAAGTATTTTATATGTGATGAGCTCTGCACCATCCTCCTTTCTGAAAATGATATTCATTGTAAATGTATTCCTCCCGGATCCTCCGGGAGAAGGAAATATTAAGAGCAGATAGTTGTTAGTTCACAGATGGATCAAAAACACCTTCCGGATCTGGTGCAGGTGTTTTCAGTCGCATACCCAGGACAGAGTTATCTACCTGCCTAGGAACTTATGCGACTGTATTTCAAGCGGAAATTTACGTTATTGAATTGTGTGCGGACAGATTGGATAAACCCAACCTCACTTACAAGTTAATAAAAATATTCTCGGACAGTCAAGCGGCGTTGGAAGCTCTTGGCTCCTACTGAGCAACGTGTAAATTGGTAGCAAACGGCCAAAAATGACTCTCTTCGATAGGAAGACTTAATAGATTGTCTCTGGTCTGGATTCCTTGCCATACTGGCCTGGAAGGCAATGAAGCTGCGGACTCTCTTGCAAAGGAGGGTGCTGCAAGCAGCTTCATTGGACCAGAGCCTGTCATTGGCATCGCATTGCGCTTTGCCAAACAAACACTGAACACCTGGATGGCAAGAAGATTTATGGACTTCTGGCAGAATCTTCCAGCAGGATTGGCTCACTCCAAGGCGTTTATTCACCCTTCGAAGCTTGATTTCAAACAGTTGTTGGATAGTAGGGATGAACTACGATGTCTAACAGGCCTTCTTACAGGTCACTGTCATTTGAATCTCATATGCAGAGACAGTGTGTGTCGCCTCTGTCTGGAAAATGATGAGACAGCAGAGCATATACTTTGTGCCTGCCCCGCTGAGGACCGAATCAGGTTCTTTGAGTTCGGCAGATCCGTACTCTCACCATCTGACCTGAAAGACCATTCATCATACAAATTAATCGATCGGCTTCGTTAAGAAGCTGGGTTTATTTGATCGAGTGTTAGTAGGTGTGAGCCACAATAAACCCTTGTGGGTTGCGGTGGAGGGTCGAATAGACCCACTCACTTTAGACCTACCTACCTACCTATGTCTCCTTATTAGAGAGAGAGAGAGGTTGTTATTGTCTCTGCCTCGACGGGTGTGAAGTTATCCACATCCACAAAGTACACTGAGAAAAATATATCGAATTATCATTTTTTCACCTACCATTTCTCAATATGATACGCTTATTGACTGATTTAATGAAAAAATCGTCTTAGTTTATTAAACTGTCTGAAGGGGTGAAAATAGGGTGGAAATATTTGAAAAAATCGTAAAATGAAAATTCGACTTCGTACACCTAAAAAATTGAGATATGTTATTCCTGATGATCTATTCGACAAGAAAAACTTCACGTTATAGTTTTCCAGGCCGTCTGAGGGGGTGAAATTGGGGTGGAGAGTTGAAAAAATCATATTTTCAAATATTCAGTTGACAGATTGAATAATCTATGAATTAAGTTCATACCGTCGCATTCACCAGTTCAAAAATATTATTCATTATATCTATTATCCATAGATAGTTGGTAGGAAAAATATTTGCCTAGATCCGTGGTGTGGAGTGCAATAGCACAGTGTTGCCAAATAGTCTAACGCTTTGTTCCTGTGATCGAAACTATAAAAATGAATGACAAATTAACTCGTAGGTGTACACATTCAATTTTCAAAGATACGATTTTTTCAACTTTCCACCCCATTTTCACTCCCTCAGACGGTCTGGAAAACTATAACACCCGTTCTGCCTCGCTTTGTTTGTCCTTAAAATGCTCTCAACTTTATAGGACTGACTGTTGACTGAGTTTCTCCGATTTCGAAGTGTTCTCCTACTTGACAATTATGGTTTTGTTCGAACAGCCTTGACTTGGGCTTATTTCATGAATTTCTGCTATCCCCGAGTTACTTCAAATATATAAAAAATATATCATATATGCCATCTAAAACTCTAGAGTCTTTCATTATGCTCTTCCTATCTTTAAATTTAAATGAAACAAAGTCTGTGTGAGATATCATCGAAATTTGTTATTCGTTTGAAAGACCTATTGATGCCATTATGTATGTATCTTTCGAATGTCTGCCACGGTTTCTCTGGCTGGAGCGCACCCGAAACGTCCAGTTTTCCACGACTCTGGCGCGTAAATCTGGCTGAATTTGACCGAAGACATGGGTTATGTTGGCTTTGAGGACTGCTGTAGTTGCTTATTCGCATACACCTGCGACTTAAGGAAACCCAACAAGAAGAATTCTAACAAGGGCAATTCGCACATGACCTCCACGTCTCGTGCAGAATATCTAGTGTGGCATGAGCTGTGTGGCACGTAGCGTCGTTATGTTGAAACCACATGTCGTTGGTGTCCAGATCATCCAGTTCAGGCCGAAAGAAGTTAGTAATCATCGACCTACAGTGCTTGCCGTTGACAGTGATGAGCTGGCCAACATTCTTCTCAAAGAAATATGGACCGATGATGCCACCAGCTCAAAATCCACACCAAACAGTGACTTTTTCAGGATGCATTGGGCGCTCTTGGATCTCATGTAGATTGGTAACATCCCAAATTCGACATTTTGTTGTTCACTTACCCATTCATTCAGAAATGGACCTCATTGCTGAAGATAATTTTTCGATGAAAATTAGGATCAGTTTGTCAACTGCTCTAGAGCCCATTCAGCGAACACACAAGTCGAATCCGTTGAATTTGCATGTGTTGTTAAATGCTATATTCGTCCATGGTGGTTTGACAGATGTCGAAATGCACAGGTCTGCAATTCAATTGCACAGGTCTGCAAAAAAAACTTTAAAAAAATTGTTTTGACTTCATTAACTGATCTTTATGTAGTTTTTTGCGCTGACTACAAAAATGACATTTGTTTTTATCTACCTGTAAGGTTTGCCTACAAAATAAGGATGAAATAATTGAAAAAGTACAAAAAAAACAGGAATTGTGGATTTATTTTTATTATTTTAACATGAAGTGAAAGCAAAAAAAACAATGCTACCTACATAGCTAAACTAAGCATAATAGTGATACAAAAGTGTTTGCAAAATGATTATGAGCCTTTATAAAAAGTTTTCTTTTTTCGTCAAAGCTTCTTTTGGTACTTTTTCGGCTGTGTTCTTGTGAATTTTCCCTTTTTAACATCCAACAGTAGTCTGCCATCATGTTAACATTCCACCGACCATGGTATCTGCGTTTCGTTTCTTTTATGTTTTGATGGAACCGTTCTCCTTGTTCCTCACTTACAACCCCTAGATTTTCGGGAAAGTAGTCCAGTTATGAGTGAAGGGAATGGACTATGACACTCATGTTGCAGCCCAACATTTTGTAGTTTTGTATCAATTCAGCAACCAAAGTTTTGTAGTTTGGGTCTTTTTTGTTTCCAAGAAAGCCTGTTATAACAAGTTTCATCGAATTCCAGGCATTTTTTCCTTCCATTTCCATTTTAGTGACAAAGCTATCATCTTTCAAAAGTTGTCTTATGTCAGGTTCAACGAAGACTCCTCCTTTTAGTTCAGCATCGGATAGACCAGGAAACTTTTCAGAAAGATACTTCAAACAGTCTCCTTCTTTGTCTAATGCTTTCACAAACTGTTTCATTAGCCCCAATTTAATATGGAGTGGTGGAAGTAAGATTTTTTTTAGGATCCACTGAACTTTGTTTTTCAACATTTTCAACTCCAGGAGTAAGACCCTTTCTTATTGGCCACACCTGCTTGGCATAGTGTTGTTTCCTGTCCCGGCTATCCCATTCACATAAAAAACATGGAAACTTAGGGTAACCACTTTGTTGACCTAGTAACATTGAAATAATTTTCAAGTCTCCACAAATGGTCCACTTATGATCAGAGTAGCTGAGCTTATTAAGAACAAATTCAAGATTTTCGTAGCATTCTTTCAAATGGACTGAGTGTCCAACAGGCACAGGAGCATATTGGTTCCATTGTGAATAAGTACAGCTTTCAAACTTCTTTTTGATGAATCGATAAAAAATCTCCATCCCTCTGGTTCATACGTTATGTTGAACATTTCCATGACTCCGGGTACATTGTTGCAGAAAACTAGATCACCCTCTTGTATAAAAAAAAGGGACAAATTCCCTTTCTCTAAATCGGTACCATGAAAATGGAACACCGGAGGCTAACATATGTCTTTCTTTGAGTCTAGACCCTAAAACTTCTGCTGAGTCCTTTGGGAGGCCCAGATCTCGTACTAAATCGCTCAAGTCTAATTGAGAGAAAAGTTCAGGGTCATTGGTACCTGGATCGTAGCTGTTATCACTTTCGCTACTGCTACTATGTGTTTTTGCGTCTAACTCGTCTAAAATGTTATCCAAGGTATCCGGAGGTGAAGGAATAGGCAAGTTAGAGGTCCGTGAGGAACAGGGTGAACAGCTGAACATATGTTGGTGGGGTATGAAATATCCTTTCTGTCTTTCAAATTGGAACCTTGCACTGAACAAGAACAAAAATAATAGTCATCACTGTGATTTTCAGGCTCTTTCCAAACCATGGGTGCTCCAAAATGAAATGATTTTTTCTTACCTTGAAACCATTGTCTAAGTTCTTCAACACACACTATATGGGGAGCTCAAGATTTATCTTGGTGCCCTAATTCAATACCAAAGTATGCAAAATATACCTTCTGAACAAAATTAGAAATAGTCCTTCGTTGCTTCTTCATAGTATAAGACCCAAAAATATAACAGAAACTGTTAGGAGAGTTAACACATCTTCTAGTAGCCATTTCTTTTCAAAACGGTAGCACAAAACTGTTTGATGTGTACACTACAGTGGCTGGCTCCACACTGATCGAGTCACTGCCTGCAACTAAGGTCACGCCCGGTGCCCAGCAGACAGTAGGTTTAGGGAGGGGGCAGACAGACTGACACATACATGCCTTGTTCCAGTAGGAACTGGATTTTTCCAGTTTAGACTAGTTTTGTTATTGAAATAAATAGATTGAAACCGTATTTTATCTTGGTTATACACTCACATTGTATAGTAACTTGTTCATCATAAAAGCTCCATCATTCAGATTCAATTTACCGCTTGTATAGGCTATATAATAGAGAAACATCGAACCCACATAATGAGAAAATTTCAGGTGAAATTTGTGACTTATCTATAGGTGTCAGAATTTTTTTACTATTTTTTCCGTAATCTGCGCAAAATGAAGAGTTCTGTACAACTTTCGATTTTGATTATTTGTACAAGAATTTGAACTTCAGATGTTCTGTGTGGTAGTGCTCACTATTCTCTAATAAAATTATCTTTCATTTTCAATAATAATCCTAAACATGCGGCAAATGAGTCATTAGGAGAGATTTTTAGGCGGATCAAGTATCCGTGCCCTCCCCTGATTGTTGTATGACCCCATTCGTTATGAAATCAGTAAATATCTGCACTAAAAATTATTTTGAGTTATATTTTCTATATCAGTTCCGCAGTTCTGCAAGTATCTGATTTTGAATTGGAGACTTGGTTCAAATAAACTTTCCCATAATTCAGGAACAGAAAAATTTTCCTGATTCTTGGACTTCACTGGAAACATCTCTGTAACGTACATAGGAAAAAGACGTAACAGAAGTTGTAAATTTATGCATTTTTCCAATTTCAGAATAGACAAGAAGGCGGAAGGCCATCCACCGTGGACCCATCAGCTGCCAATTCTCAAGATGGTGTATCCTTCAAGGACATGCTCGTTCAGTTCGCCAAATTGTCGCAGAGCGAAAGAAATGAGCTTATCCAGAATGCCATAAAACCCCCGCCGCCATATCCAGAAGTCACTGTTCATCCAGTTCCTACAACTTCAGCACCAACAGCCCCATCAACTCCAACAAATTCCCTTTTACATGGTATATTGACAAAGGTATTTGTAGTCAACGGTGTGTTAGAGCAAAATCAGATCCTGATTTTTTCAGACTCCTCCAAAGCAGACCTCTAAGTCTTCGTTCAGTCCAACACTGGCTCGACTTTTGACAGCGCCTGAAAGAGCTGCCAACAACCTCGCAACTTCCACTCCCACGGCAGGTTCTAACACGACGATTCATCCTTCCAATATGTCGATATCTGAAATATTATCAAGCAGTAAGGTAAGAATATTTCGCATTGGTGAAATCTTATTAGTTGTTTCCTGACTGAAAAGGCCAGTGTCTGTACTGAAAGTATTCAGTTCTATATGTCCTATTATTTCGATTGAGTTGTGATGTACGAATATCCCAGATGCATATTAAAAATTGATCAGAATGAAAGTAAATATCATACTGATGCCACTCTCTCAATAAAAAAATACACATCCCCCTTTTAGTAATGAAAAAATTCATTCCACAACAGAACAAAAGTACCCTCTCATCAGGAGATGATTAGTTTTAGGCTATGATTGCTATTACTGACTCTGTAGCGGCGGAAAAACGAATTAAATTCGCCAAGATAGTGAAGAAGGTCAAGTCACCTCCAGCAATTTGACTGTAGGAGCAAATCTAACTCTCAAAACATTGAATCCCGATTCCAAAATCATCATTCTGCCTGCAGACAATGGCAATGCACCTACAGAATATGACAGAAAAATCACCGACCTTCTTTAAGCAATAGTGTACAGGAAGCTGTCCCAAGTTTCCACAAAAGCACAACTCCAGAGTACCAACCACTTCATCAAGGTGTCATAGATACCAGGCGACATTCAGAAAACTATTGTTAGCAGGAAGTAGAATGCCATTGAAACTCCTCAGCCTTACAAACCCCCAAGTTTGTGAGGCCTACCGAAAATCCACGAAGCCTCAGTCCAATTGTTAGTGCCTTGGATTCACCAAGGTATGCACTAGCTGAGTATCTCGTTACGCTACTACAACCTCATGTAGCCATACTGAAACTTACGTTAAAGACTCAGGACAATTCATTGATCGATTCAAAAAAATACAGTTAACGAGGTGGAATATTCTGGTGAGTTTTCACCAAGGTGTCCCGACAGATGAATAAACTTTCGAATCACCACCCCAGTCAGAAGCGAGGAATAATGGGCTCATTCAGGCTAATTTAGTTTTTTATTGAAAATAATATATTATAAAAGTAAATCATCTCCCAAGTATCCCACGAAACTTTCCGGTTTATATGTCAATTAACAACTGAACAAGATCAATTGAAAATGTGGTACATCCTGACGTCACACCAGGCAACGAGCTTCGAGCGGTGGCAACCGGGCCTAGAGTTGGAGATTATGAATCGCTGCCATCGTCGGATTTTGTTTCATTTGCTGACTGGTTTGAAAACACCACGTGTAACATATTCACGCAGTTGATACACTACAATAAACAACACACAACTTGCTTTCTCTACGGCTTTAGCACACGTATTTCGCTTATCCGCCAGCACTCCCTTGTCGCCGAGTCGACTGATGTGACGTCAAGCTTGACCACATTCAACTATTAATTGAGGGGGAAGATAAAGAGTGAAGATTCAGATTTTTTGCAAATGTGCTATTTGAAACATAAACTTTCAAATAATGAAATAAAAAATTTGTTAAATGAGCCCATTGCATCATTGACGAAATGAGTAGAAAAGATCTGCGCCCACAATATCTAGAAGAAGCAGTAAAAAACGTTAGAGGTTTATTTCGCTAATGGGTACTCGGAACAGTACATCGAGAAGGTGACGAAATTTATTCCGAATCTACGTCATAGCAAGAGGCAACGACAAAGTTCTTTCTATCCTTCATGCTATCAGTAAATACGTCCGGAAGAGTCTGAATGATCTCCTGGAGCATCTGAATAGTCAAAACCCAATATTATACAGTTCGCGATGGATATTGAGGCAGGCAACCAGTATTTCTGGATGTTCTGGTGACAAGAACGGAGACCAATTAAATCACAGAGAAAGGCCACCGTCACCGACAAATGACTCAGCGCTCGTACCACCACCACCACCATCAGAAGTGAGGAATAATTGCATAATTGATTAAATGAACGGAAAAGATCTGCGCCCCACAGTATCTAGAAGAATCAGTAAAAAACGTTAGAGGTTTATTTCGCTAATGGGTGCTCGGAACAGTACATCGAGAAGGTGACAAAATTCATTTCGAATCAACGTCATAGCAAGAGGCAACGACAAAGTTCTTTCTATCATTCATGCTATCAGTAAATACCTCCGGAAGAGTCTGAATGATCTCCTGGAGCATCTGAATAGTCAAAACCAAATATATAGTTCGCGATGGATATTGAGATAGACAACCAGTATTTCTGGATGTTCTGGTGATAATAACTGGAGACCAATTGAATCACAAAGAAAAAGGCAACCGTCACCGGCAAATGAATTAACGCTTGAACCACCACTCCAGTTGGAAGCGAGAAATATTTACATTATTGACGAAACGAGCAGATACAATTTGCGCCCCACGACATCTAAAAGAAACAGTAAAACACCTCAAAGGTTTATTTCGTTGATAGGTTCTCGAAATAGTACATCGAGAAGGTGACGAAATTCAATTCCAAATCTAGATCAAAGCAGGAGGCATAGACAAAGGTATTTCTATTCTTCATTCCAAAACATATTGACAGTAAAGGCCGTCTTCTTGAAAAGGAAAGTATATAAGCCCACCAAAAAAATTCGGCATTACTCGATTAGCACAAGAGTTGTGGAGTACGAAAACTGCAGATTGGGACACTCGAAAAATCAGTTGTGGCAGAGTACGCACTCAGTACTGAAGAGCTCAGGCTTTTACAACTGGTTACTTCATCAGACAATTGAAATCTACAAGCATGACAATTGTAAAAGGAAGAAAGGAACAAGTCGGATCAACAACATTTGGAGGCCAGCTTTACAAAAAAAAATCAATAAGGCGAGAATGCCCGGATCGTTTGAGAAGATCGGACCGGCCGTAAAACCCGCACCTTATTGTTCAGTAGTAGCTCCCCCCTTCACCGGTCACTTATAAATATATCCTGCGTGCACAAGCGCGCCAGTATACCTTCAAACTTGAAAGTAATTATACGAATCTCTGAAGATGACAGAAACTCGCACCGGCGAAACGTCAGGAAGTATTAACAACAGAGGACGGCCCGAAGAAATAAACAATTTCAATTATTTTTTTGAAACTTCATCCGAGTTTCAGTATTTTTCCCCGATCTGTCGATAAACATCAACATAGAAAACCGCGGACATGTATGTTTGTGAATATTTGTCTAGATTAGGAATAATATGTATCGAGGTTAAGTTAGGTTAGGTTAGGTTAGGTAAAAACCTCTTTTGTTGTATCTGTAGAAATATCTATGTACAACACTGTATTTTATAGTTGATATTATCAGAAATTATCAACTTTCAGCATTATTCAGGGGTATTTTAGATATTTCTCCTTCGTATATTTTATTTTGTGAGTAAATATTATCATTATTCTTATTATTCTTTTTCTTCATATTCTAATAACAATGACGTTTTTCAGGCTCACAACGAAATCACAATAACTCCAGTGGAGACACAATTCGAAGCTTCACCATCCAAAGGAAGAAATATGGTAAGTGTCAAGACTCTTTTCATATCAATACATTTCAAACTGTCACAATTAAATTGACAATTTCGAGAGAATGCCTGAAACTACATTGGTACTTTCATTTTGTTTTTCAGATATTCTAACAAATCCTAGTTGACCTAAATTGAACAGTTTCATTGAACGGTAACGAACAGGTTTGAAAAAATTAAAACCCTGTAAACTATTCGAGTTGTCCCTGTTTCAATACACGTTCGTTTGAACAGTAAAATGTATCAGTTTTATAAGCTCGACCACCCTCGAAATAATATTTTGTGTACGCCACTGGTTGAAGTTCCATTTACCTGTAATCCTATTTCATTGAAGCCATGTGTTGATAACCGAAATACATGGAAGGTGATGCATAATAATTTTCAGTAGTGATCTATTTTCTAAGGATTCATGTTTTTTGTTTCAAGAATTAGGTCTACACAAATATTTTTTGAACCTGTAGTTGTTATAAATCAGAAAAACGAGACAAAATTTTATAAAAATAAATAAAACTTGGCGGGTTTTGATAATAAATTTGCTTTTACATCAGTTCCCAGTACATCGTCCATGTTTAACAAATTTAGCAACTGAATTTGGAAACACTTATTCTTAAGTAGGTGCGTGTACGAAGTCACCTCGAATGGCATAAAAACTAAATAGTTACCGAACGTCGACAATTTCCTAGTAAGGTGGGCGGCGTAGAAGATCATACGACTTCTAAATTAAATTTATCAGACCTGGTATAGCCGAAGTAACCGGTATTGTGAATAGTTAAAGCTATCGGCGAATTCCAAGGCCAAAAAAACCAATAGAAAGAAATGATGCCGCTGCGATATAGTGCACGTGCACTGAAGAATTGGCGGTTCATATTGGATAATTTTTACTAATCGAGTTTTATGATTGGCTGAAGAGTCACAAAATTAAATTTGAAGTCATATTACGGTGACGAATAGAATGCGAGGATGTTTATACACTTCGTGTTGTTAATGTTCAGTTCAGGAACTGATCGCAATTTGAGTGTTGAAATTCGATATTGGGGCAGTTATAATTACTTAAAATTTTTGTTATCTGTTTAAGTTGTGGCGTCCTTGGACTAGTACTAATAGTAATAATAACGAGTGTGATAACAACGCATATTTTTTCCTATGTAGTGATTCCAATAGCGATGGTGAACAATGCGAAAAAGAGATACTAGAGAATAATATTCGGATTCATTTGAATATTGATAAACAGAGAGTATGTTTCAATGTATATAAGAATCTACATCTCAAGTTTTCTTCCGAGGGAAACAAACTATTACGTAAAATACATAGTTAAAAACAAACCTTATGAACGCAAGACGCGATGTGATACGGAATTACCAAAATCTTCAGATGTTCATCTAATAAAATCATTTTAAAAAAATATACGACACAAAAGCAATGAGATTCCTACAACTGAAATCATAAGGAAGAAATTCAATACTTCCGGCCATAACGTGAGCCACTCTAACAAAAGTCTTCAGAATTGGGTGAAGAAACTGGGATTTAGATTTGAAATAATAAACAAACGTCAAACAGTTATCGAAAGCAGAAGAATAGTGGAATTGCGTAACAAATACTTAGAACAAATAACTAAATATAGACTCACGACACAGTTACGAAAAGGTAGACTGATGGTTCGAGGATGTGTTCGCCTAACATGCCTGCAAACTAAGGATCGCGACCAATCATTGTGCATTGAGGGGAAAGTAAAGGATGGGGTCCGAATTCTTTGAAATTATGTGTAAAAAAACTTGAGGACTGCAATATTATCATCATAAGAACATGGAAGCTAATATTTTCGAGGAATGGTTTGAAAACACATTGATCCCAAATTTGGATGCGAATAGTGTAATAGTTCCTGACAACGCTTCCTATCATTCGCGACAGCTCATCAAAGTACCGAATAAAAATTCGAAGAAAAATGAAAAAAAAATTTTTGAATGGATAAAAATTTGTATTTTGAAGATAACTATACCAAAAACCAACTACTTGTAGTTTTACAGACAAAAACATTTGAAAAAGTGTATGCCCTTGAGAGTATTGCTGAAAAGTATGGACACACCATACTAAGACTTCCCCCCCCTATTTTTGTGCTCTCAGTCCCATCGAGGGGAAACTGAAACAAAGCATCAGGCGTAAAAATAATTTTTCAAAATTTGATAAGATGGTACCTAATGGAGCTAGTTAAAGAAGAAGTATCTAATATTAACGAAGAAGACTGGCAGAAAAGGATTAAAAAATAATTTCAGTTGGAAAAGACTGTATGGAGATTGGACACTTCCATTTTAATGGTGAAAATAAATTCATTATTGATTCAAATGATGACAGTGAAAGTGAAACAGAGAATATGGAAAAGGCATCATCAGAAGATTTCTAAGAAAGTCATCACTCTATTATGTGGATCCCTACTTTCCGACTCAGCTATATTAACGAAATATTTATTGTATAACAATAGTGAATTAGCGTATGTTTTTATATATTTGTGATTGTGCATATTGATTGTAAAACTATAGGTTTCTTTTTCAGGATAAGAACTGCTTTATTGTTCATTGTGGTTGACAAGTTCTATACCCAATAGGGTCTCTGAATGAAATATATTCATTAATTTAGGTTTAATTTAGGTTTCCGGAGAAGCTTTCTTCTCCTATTGCTTTTGGGTACTCCCCGATATTTGTTTCAAAATTATTAATTGAGACCTGAAGCCCTTAGAGAGTATCTTATTGAATCTGGAGCAAACTTAGGTCTATCTTAGATTTCCTTGTAGCTTTGTTGAATTCAGTTAGGCACCTTTTATATTGATCCCTGATATATCTGACATTTCCGTGGCAATAACATTTGTTAATGATAGTATTGGTGGAAATTTCATTATACGACTTTGACTTTTCAGGAGGAAGACGAAACAGAAGACAGTGCCGACAGGCTCGTGATAGACGAGAATAACGAGGCCATAGACGCCAGGAAGCAACCTATGAGCGTCGACAACAGTTCCGAAGCAGGAGACGAAGTTCCTCCGTGCCAAGGCTGTAATCAAAAAGCAGCGCAGTTCGTATGTGCCGGCTGCGGAAACCAATGGTACTGCAGTCGAGATTGTCAGGTAATATAGAAGACTCCCATATACAAAGTAGTGGAGATTTTTGGATATTATGATACAGTGAATACCAAGGCTCGAAACAAAAACACGATTCAGTTACTCAAACATAAATTGAAGCAACAAGCCAAAAAGAGCTGACCGCAGGTACGTTCGACTAGTACCAAACCGCATATTCGGATAACAAATCGTCACATCTTCTGATCACGCGTTTTGTTGTGATTGTTTCAGCTGACCTTGCACTGAACACGAATAAGTATAGTTTTTTGAATAAAGTCAAACAAATTGAAAGTTTTGAATGAATTATCATTTTCACATCCGTAATTATGAGAACATTTTTAGCTTTTTATTCTTTATCGATGGTTTCAGTACTGAAAGGACTACAGCAGACTTACCCCGTTTAATATTTTTTATATTTCATTCAAATTATACAAGGGGAAAATACCGAAATAGAAGGTCGATAAAAGGTTTTTATCTTTCTACTCCATCTACTGAATCTTGATACACAAAAATGTGGCAAATTTCGGGAGAAAACAAGTGATTAAATAAACTCTTCACATCGTCTACACATATTTGTGAAGAGTTTATTTTGAACTTAATTGCTTCCTTCCCTTAATCATAAGTTCTCCACAATTTTTGTATAAAGATGGAGAAATAGAAAGGCGAAAAGGTTTTTTTTTCCAAATATTCATCTGTCCTAAAAATAATCCCTTTTCAAAGTAATCTATTGTATATCTTTTCTTATCACACTATTATCTCCAGGAATCATGTGAAAATGTTTCAATTGTTGGGAACCGTTATCATATCTATTTTTGGTATTTTGGTGATTCATCAAACCGCTAGAATCTCAGTCTTCCAGAAGCCGACGAATATATGGCATATAAACAGGAGAGCCTAATTTTATTTCCATCCCAAAATATTAGTTACAGTAACTTAAAGAATAAGGCATTTTGTTGATACATTGTTTCTGTGTTGATCTCTTCAGTCAATCTTCAATTCAAATTGATGGTATTTCTACAAGAAATTAAAATTAAAATAAATAAGAATAAATGAATACTGATTCCATTTAATCTAAATAGGCGTCATTTGAATCAGTGCACTTTTGCCAACGAAACACAAGTCGAATAATTCCGTCAGCATAAAAATTGTGTGCTTGGGATTTGATAAAGTTGACTAAGGCCGTTTTTTGCCCGATCTTGATTGGCGAAGGTTCTACCGGTGAGAAAGTTATCGAAATGCTGCTTGAAAAGATGGCAGTCAGTTGGCGAGAGGTCTGGGAAGTATGGTGGATGAGGCAGATCTTCAACGCTCAATTCTTTCAATTTTTGGATGATGATTTATGAAACTTGCGGACGGGCGTTGTCATGGAGCAGGATCGGACTTCCTGTGTTGACCAGTTCCAGCTGCTACTGACGCAATTTTCGGTACATTTCGTCCATTTCCTAACAATAGGACTCTCCTCTGATGGTTTGGCCCGGTTGCAGAAATTTATGGTAAATCACAACAGTCGCTAACCACCATATAGTAACCATGTTTTTTTGGTGGGTTTTCGCCTTTGACAAGTGCCTGGGTGGATCATCGGTGTCCAACCACTATCCTGAACGTCTCTTGTCGTCGTTGAGGATCCACTCTTCATCAAACGTGACGATCCGATCCAAGAAGAATCGATATGGTTGCACGAAAGCAAAGAAGAACATACCTTGGATCGTGACAATTTCTGTCACGATAGTTCAAATCGTAGGACACCCACTTTTCAAGCTTTTTGAGCTTTTTGATCTTTCCAAATCATTTTCTTCCCACGCACCGTTTGTGATGGATCAGTCTATATCAGGGTCCTCAAATCCTCGTCCAGGTTCGTTAACACTATTATTGTCAAATGCCTGGTTAATTTTGGGTGTTTGGGCAGCGCTTTAGTTCAGTTTGAGTTCGTACAGAAAAATTGGCCGAAAATCGCTTAACGACATCATATAGTAATAAGCTGAAAAGAGACAAAAATCACAATTAAGAAAAAAAACAGCATCAATGTATAGACTGGAGAATTCTACATCGATCATTTTATACCTACCACGACACGGTAGAATAAGTATTTATAGAGAATTGGTTGAACATGTTTAATCGTAGACGTTTTCATGCAACATGCATATTCGTTAAAATAATCAAATATAGGAATCCTCCCTACTTATATAAACATTTGTCTTATAGAACAGATGTCCATAACCTAAATTTGCGTAAAAAGACAGTGCTAAACATTCCTGTAATAAAAAGAAAATATTTAAACGATCTTTTTCCTTTAATATCTCCTCCACAATAAATTATGTCCATAAATGGGAAAAATAATTGTTTTAACATGTCAGAAACTGTTTTTAAAAGTATGTTCAAACAGCATCTGTTCAGAATCCTGAAAAAGGTTTTAGCTATTCATATATCTCTATACCTATATATTACATTCCCTTTTATTTTTTGTTTTTTCTTCTTTTCTTCTCTTTAAGCACTAGTAGAATATTTAATTTTTATACATTTTCGGCATTGATGGAAGAGCAAATACGAATGCAAATTCGATATCTGAACCAAAAGCCATTTACACATCAAATACAAAGTGTTTTTACTTCTTTCTCTCTTGAATTTTTGTTGTTGTTATCTTGTTTTTTTGATGGGAAATTAATTTATTATTATTATTATATAGAGCTGTCATCGAATACAATGCCTAAATAAAAAACCCACTCATTGATACAATTTCATGACCATTAACTTCAAGGAAAGAAGTTTAGGATACGTAGTTCTAGTTTTCCTAAAAAATGACTTCAGATATGCTTTTTCACACAATAAATCACAAAAAATTGTTTTAAAACAGAAAAAACTTTTGAAACAATCTAATATAGAATTTTTTCGCCAAAAAGCAATGCTTTAATAACTTTACAGAAAATGTTCTATCTCAAAAAAAACCTGATTGTCCGACAGCTGTGAAATTTTCACACGTGTCTTTCGAAGGATCAGATTAACTACAAATCATATGGATTCAATAGCGACATCTATGTGTCAGCCTACGAACCTTTCAGCTGGTCTAGTTTTATACTTATAATGGAAATGCTCATTTTGGTAATGCATTCTCAAAAGACGATTTTTTTCAGGTTTCCGCTTGGGACGAGCATTCTGAAGTATGTTCTGGCTGAACAGTACAAGAATCATAATCTAATCACATCAGGATTTCAAAATAAGATATGAGATGCTTCATTTCACCTTTATATAGTATGTACACGCCGTGCTAAAATGAAAAGCTCAAATTCAGTCATTACAGAAGAAAAATCCCAGTTTTGGCTGATTGGAAGAATATTTCAAGGTTTCTCTAGTAGTGAGAAATAATTCTAGACGAGTCATCTATTTTTACCACATATATAAACGCATAACTATATTCTAAAGGTAAATCACCAATAAAAGAATCAAATCAACCTCATGCTGTTGCAAAATTTGTTAGAAACTAGGAAAAACTTTGTCGATATAAGAATTTATTTATTTGCTACCCCCAAGTTTTGTGACTCCTAATAATTAACTATTTATAAATTAGATGTATTTTGCCAAAGAGTTCCAAAGGTGTATATTTAGTAAGTAGGGTTTCGATAGTAGATAGATTAGGCTAATGTAACGACAAGCAAAATCAAAAATGTTTTATAAGCTATAGGTTAGAAAGTTTTTATTTGTAATAGCCATTAGGACTCTCGATGACATGATTAACTTCCTGATATCACTTCACCTCAAAGGAATAAGTGTCAGAATGTATTGTTTTTTTATAGTTTAGTTTACAGTATAGTTCATTAGTTTAATTGTTTGTAAATACTTAGATCAACACTACTGGCAGTATTGAATATCAAGCAGTCTCCTGAGGATTTGTTCTACAGTTCATTATTTCTCACCTGAAACTCTTTCATGAAAATGGTCAATATCAATAGTCAACGTCAAAACTTTGTTCCTTGAAAATTTGTGAATTTTATTATGCTCATAATGCTAGTTCACTTTACATTGAAGGGTGTTCAGAAAACAACTGGTAAATGATTCAAAAATATTTTTTGAACTCATGACCAAACTAACTTGAACTATTTGAAACTGAAGTAAATTGAATGGAGATTCATTATGGAATGAATTAGAACCTGACGTAAACATCGGGTTCTGGTTCGTCTATATTTTTAACAAGAAGGGCAATATATTTAAATATGAACCAGCTGTGTGGGTACCGAAGTCGTCTGTATTGAACCAGATTGGGAAATGGGTCTATAAGATATATAGAATACTGGGGAATAATAGGGAACACACTCAGGAAAACCTTCATAAAGGGATTGTCCACGAAGGGAATTGAATGTGAGGTACAGGATCACAGGTGGCATACAGTTCGTGAACCACTCAAATTATGTTCAGGGCACATGTCATGAAAAAGATTGAAGAAAAACGCAATAAGCCCACGAGGCTGCAATGTTTTCCAGAGACTTGGGGGCAATGGATAAGAAGTCAGGCAGCTCCTAAGTAGTAGAAAAAAATATTAGCAGATTCAAGTGGTAGTTGGCCCAACTCACAATCAAAAAGTCGTGACCATCCCTATCTGTACAAGTTATTTTTCTCGAGAGAATTTATCTAGTTGAAATCGGGATAATCCTGCAATGTTACACGACTAATGGACTGCAAATAGCCATGATGTTTCCTAAGTGGCTCGGGGAGTTATTAACATTGTCTACGCAGAACATGAAGCTAATGACCAAAGCATTCAATGCCGTTAACATAAAGAAAATGTAAATATTGTCCACAGTTCATATGTCTGACACATACTCAAATGCTGCTGCATCCTGACTTTCCAGATGGGTCTGATTTCTCTGAAATGATATCGAACATTTTCAGTTCATTTCCTCAAAAATGTATTCTTCGATAATTTTTTGGGTTGAAATTTCGAGTGAAGGCTTTGGTTTTCAAGACAGCGTAAATTCGATAATTTTCCTAGATCAATAACCAACGACGAGTAAGAAGTATTCAAGAACGTTTAATATTTTACTATTTGAAATTGTAGATATTTATTGGGGAAATTCACATCTATCGAAAAATAATTGCTGTTCTTTTCAATTTGAGTTGTGACTCAGTAGGTATATTTTCCTGGAGTCTCTGTTTTACACTATGACGTTCAATGCGTTAACAATAATGAAAATTTAAGACTATCAAGAAAATGAATATTTTTAGAATGAAATGGAAACTCCTCCAACATTTCCATACGAGGTGGAGCTCCCACTTCTGAAAACCCTATCTCAAGATGTGCAGTAGATTTGTAGAAATCTGTTGTCAGTATGTTAGATTATTCGAGCCGTAAACGTCCAAATTCGGGACCGTATTCATTTAGTAATGAAGTTTAAATACTTCAATACTTTCTTTGCCACATACCGACCCAAACTTTACGCAGATACAATTTCTCCCACCGGCCATGACTATGTCCGGTAGCTGTACTTTATTGTACTTAAACGGCTTCAATCTCGAACGAGTACAACTTGCAATGCTGTCTTGGTCAGATCTCTCCTGCACTGATTAGGAGTGATACCCCAAAACTGTTCACTAAATTGATTTCAGCTTACTCCTGCTCCTGAAAAAAAAAATTTTTGCGAGTAAAATAGTGGAAGTGTCACACACATTCTTCAAAAAATGATATTTCTTATGATTCTCCTCATATAATAATGCAGAAAAGATTTTCAACACTAGATTGGCAATATAATCGATACAATGAAGAAAGTGATTGAAAGTGTCAGTTTCTATAAAAAATTAATTCATTTTTACTTTCTATAAAATATGTGACAAATACAGTTAGGTACAAAAGGCCTCCGAAATTTTATCAGTGTCATAAATACATAGATCCGTTCTCTCAAACCATATGTTTAATGTACAAATGAACAAACATACTTTCTTCCTGACATTTTTTTCAGATCTCATCAGTTCCTTTCAAGAACAATAAAAAATATTTTCCTCTGTAATCCCAAAGAATTGAACCAGGTGAAATATGAGAAATAAGAAAGTAGGAATCAATAAATGCATAATTTACAAGGTAACATTAATGTGCTTGATATTCATTACAATATAGGTCGAACATCTCATTTGGAAATGCATTCATTAGATTTCATAATTTAATTGGTGGGCAATTTCTCTATGATTGATGAGAGGAGGTGGGCTGACCTCTCACCCTATGGCTAAGTTACTGATTTGTACTAGTCATTACCTACAGTAAAGTTACCTATAATGTTAATTTTTTTGCTTTTTGTGTAAGTGCCATCATTGTGGTTTTTTGTACATATTTTTTGAATAAACACTGTAAAACATTTTATGTAAGATACAATTCTGTGATATCCATTTAAGGATCAACGATACTTAAATAAAGCTAGTATCTTTCTTATGTGCAACTTTTTATTCACTTAATTATCCTTCACAATATTTTCTCATATATTTAGGTCAAAATTTTGGTAATGTCAGATTAAATCAGTTGTAGATAAACTGAGAATTTTCCAAATATTCTTTAGTAAATAAAGTTCAATAAACATTCAGATCAATAGATTGTTTCAGAAAATATCATTTGTATAGTCACAATTTGGATTTCTGCAAATTTCTAAAAAAAGAGTGAATGAATTTTTCGGAATACTGATTGAACTGAAATATTATTGATGATAATAATTACATAATATGTACTTGATTTCCAATATTTGTTTCACTACAACAATAGTGTCTTTAGTTGGACTGGTACTCTACACTAATTCACAATGCAATATACAGGGTGCTTCCTAACTATGATTCGAAACTTCAGAGGGTAATTCGTTAGGTCGTTTTAGGAAAAAACGTTTTTATGAACATATGTTTCGAGTTGCTTAGTTTCAGAGATACAGGGCGTTGAAGTTTAAAAAAAACGGTATTCATAAAATATCATAAAAATCCTTACACCGATTTGGTTCAAATTGGCTACATTTATTCGAAGTAATACGGCGCTTAGTTAGTCCTAACTATATTGAAATTATTAGTTCCAGTGGGGTCTCAGTGGGCGCCAAAGCTAACAATATCGACAAAAAAACAGTACGCCACTGACTTGTTCTTGAAGTTTTTCATTTTTTCAGATTATTCAACTGAAAATACCACTTTTTCTAGCTTCGTTTTAGACAAAAAATATTGAAGCAACTTTGCATATCATGAACACCTGCTTTGGAGACCAGCTGACAATGATTGTCTTGTCATATCAGAGAAAGTCAGAGTTATCAATTAGCAGTAATGAATAAATTCACTAATGCTAAAATGGCTGACATGCACTTTATTTGTGTATAAGCAAATGGAAATGCAGAAATGCGGAGAATTGGCCAGGACAGGTATCTTAACAGAGTAACTCCATGTGCTAAAAGGCTATAGCGTTTCTGAAACTTTTCTGTACCTCACCATTTTTTTTGTGAGTACCAGATTTGTTACATTTTTTTCCCTGTAAGTACCAGACTTGTTTCATATTCGAATAATGTAGTCACTAGACAAAAGGATTCATTAATATTTTGTATGTTTTGTGAAATTGTCATCTCACATGAGCAGGCATATTGGCTGTCCTTGTTCATCTTTCACTGCCTGAACCATTGTGCATGCTGTTTTTGGTGGGGATGTGGGGGTTGAGCAAACTGGCCATCGGATTCCTGCTTCCACGTAGCCCCGCTGGATACGGGAATGACAGAATCACATGTGGTTCTGTTTTTCCTTAACTGAAGGCATCCTAAAAATGGCTCAATCCTAAGGTGTGTTTCCGTGCCTAGAAGATGAATGACACTGAGCCTATCAGCTGTCTCTACGGAACCTTCGAGATACCGGGCGCACTTTCGCCTTGTCACGGTAATGCGGGGCTCTGCCGTGATTAACCTTCTTTCCCTAGCTACTCGTGGGACTTTTATGGGCACAGTAAACTTAAAAATTCTGAGTCTACAGAAGAGATGGATGTCGAGCTTACGACTCCAACTGACCTCCCTGTAAATTTAGATCAGGAGCGGGAGCTTCTCAACTCTACAACTCTCCAATAACCTAACCTAAAAAAAATTTGATGGTGCAGCCAGGAAACGACTGAGTCGTCCCTTGAAGAGCGGGGTATCTTATGAAACCGCCTTGCACCAAATTATTGAGCGGCGTACGCAGAATCTGCCTCAGGTGGAGGAACGAACCCCTCATGAGCAGGTTAGCAAACGTTTGCGCTCAAAGGATGATTCACTAAAACCAGAGGCGAAAAAGCCCTGCTCGGTTGAATCTAAGGCATCGTCAGGTGTAGCTGACGTGCAAAAACCCTCATATGGGAAGGTTGTCGCGGGTATCAAGGTGAGAATCTTGCACCTTGACCACAGATTAAATGCAGATGCGAAAGCTAGGCCTACAGGTGGTTTGAACTTGAACCTCACTTTTCACTGTCCACTCAACGTTTCTTTGTTATTGTTTACAACTTTTATTTCAGTAACTATTGGAATATAATAATATTTGTGAATAGATGAAATATCTTTTATACAGGAGAATGTTTCACAAAGGAGGAACAGTTTGAGTTGTTCGTGGTTGTTTTACAAAAACTGAGAAAAATACAAGGTTGTTCAGAATTCAAGAGAATTCTACAAGGTAGGTAAGTGTTAATAATTTTCAGTTCTCAGCATTATCTCAACGCAGTTTTTTGAACATTGTATTTATAATCATTTGGAAATGTCCCATGCAAATAAATTGATATTTTGCTAATGTTTTTTTAGGCCTGCTTGTTGGTTACGGTTGTAACAGAAGATTTATTAGGTATCCATGCCTTGCATGCAGGGTATGTGAGAAACATTTTGCCAAAGAAGTTATTTCTCAATCTGGAACTCGTAAACATCTATTCCAAGATGCAGTTCCATCCATATTTCCACACAGTGCCACCAAACACTTCTTGGAAGTTATCAATGATGATAATTGCGAAGGACCTCCTAAGAAAATTGCTGTCTTGGATGGTGAGTACCATTTTGCATGTTCTTAGTACATACTTTTCTGACGGATACGAATACCTACGTTGTGTCCCAGGTTTACATATTGATTGTAATATCTTCTGCATTTCTAAATGATAATTTGTTATTTTTGGACATTACTAGTAACATCGTCATGCACACAGAAACCATAACTTCTCCTCCAGCTGCTACAGATATGTCAGGTATGTTTTTATGAAATATGAGGAAAGAAAACAATATCAATTATTATTCTATGTAGGGTTATTTTGATTTTCTTAAAACTCATGTATTTCTTTACACACATGATGTATGTACCAGTTTAAAAAGAATTAGGGTAAATCAACAGTTTTATCAAATTATATATCACTATATGAATGAATTACATTACAGTTTTTTTCCAGTCCCAGGTCAGAATTCTTCACCTTCTTCAAGTGGTAATGTCTCTCCAACAACTGGTACTCAAACACAAGCATTTTTGAGCTGTAGAACTCCACGAAAGACGAAGTTGCGTGAGAAACTAAGAGCTATGACAAGGAAAAAATGCATGAAAACATCCAGTCATGAGAGAGATCCGAAGTAGCATTACCACGTTGAATAGCAATACTGATTCTTTCTATCAAAAAAGAGGTAGAACGGTGATCTTTCGTTGCTTGGCCTATTCTCCTTCCGAGTTCATGAACGAATAACAGAGATTCCGGGCCATAAACACCAAAAGTTTGAACCGCTACTGGATGGAACAGATAGTTGTTATCTAGATTTTTGGTTTAAATATTATAAAGTCAATAAACTGCTTTGAAAAATGCTACCTATCATCTTTTATATAGAATAGCCTATATACAATGGATGTATATAGGGTAGTCTATATACAGAGCTATCATGCAGGTACAAAATTGAATGAGCTGCAGAGCTTTGTTTACTACTTGGTAGATGACAGTACCATTCAGTTTCAATTGAATTGAGAAATCAATTTAAAATTGATATTTAACTCACTAATTACAGGCAATGAATAATGTGCAATATTTGAAAATAAATAATTTTATTTTTAATCACAGATCACAAAGGAAGGTTACCATGAATCAAGACACTGAAAAAACTGAAATGAATCCAATCACATCAAGAGAAATCTTCTAGTCCATTATTATATCTTCCTAGTCTCATAGAATTGCCACCAATGCTGATATCTCCTGTGCCAGAATAAGATGTACTCTCATAATGTGTATAGGGGTTCAGTGTGCTGAGTTCTTCAAAAAAGTATTCTTTCAAGCTCCCATCTGGAATTCATAATTCAATATTAATTGAGCTAAGAGAATTGGGCGCATAAAATCAGTATCGCTGTGTTGAAACGTAGAATTGAAACCTCTGGCGTAGAATAAATCCAATACATAAACATTTTCCCTCAAACGCCAGAACGAAATAAATATAATTGCTCATTGCTCATTACTCAAAATTAACAAAGTTTGAATTGAAAAAAATTGACATTTATCTTGTTTGAATGTATAATCATCAATGACACAATGTTCGAAAATATAAACACACAGTACCAACGTAATAAACTTGTATTTTTCAATATTGGGATTTCATTGTTTAATTCTATCGTACCCTGACACACTCATAAGCCCGCAAAATCAGGATCCGTCACACGATTTATTCGACGAGTCTGGATAGTGTTCGTCATCCTGGTTTCATTCGGGTTGGAGCCTAGCTCCCTCACCCTTTAAACTGGCTTTTGTCAGAAAGACAAATGGGTCATAATTGATTTTGTGATGGCGGCAGAATGTCCTCAGACATCAGTACCGCCCTTCACGGTGTACCCCTACCTGGCTGGGGTGAGATTGATGAAGATCTTACTCATCTATTATCGGAAGACATGAGGACCTCATTTGACAGAGTGTCGGGGCCTTCTATATCGGAAAGGGTCGTCTACAGCTTAATCTATAGCTTTCCTGACTAACATATTATCGTAAGTTTCCGCACAATCGAAGACTTGCCGGTTCCTCGACTGAATGGACTGCTGAATGGAAGGCAGCTGCAAATCTCTGCGGATGGCTTCGTTCCGCACGAACCACGGAGCATTCACAATCATCCGTAGTAATTTGTTTTGTAAAAGTCTCCAAGATGGAGATGTTGGACGGAGCCGCTTGCCTCCAGACGCCTGAAGCATACATGATGACAGGCTTGAACATCGTGTCGTAGATTGTAACTTAGTTTTATAGGCTTAGTTTTGATCGTCTATTTATCAGAGAGTACAGGCTTGCCACCCGACCCTCGATCTTTGCTTTCACGCTTATAAAGTGCTGGTTCCAGGTGAGCCTACGATCTATTAGAACACCGAGGTACTTTAACCGCACCTGCCAGTCAATCTCCCTTCCAGAGATTCTCACTTTTTTGGCCGGAGAAGATAGTATTCTTCCCATGGTTATCGCCTGGGTCTTTTCCGGATTTACTTGGATCTTCCATTCGAGGTATTAGCGCTCGAGGTCGTCCAATGCGCGTTGCATGTAGACGATCCGGAACCATGGAAGATGAGAGGAGAGCCGTGTCGTCGGCGTAGAGGGATAGCTTCACATGCTCGGACCTCGGAAGGTCGCTGGGGTGAAGAGAATATAGCATGGGAGAGAGCACGGTCCGCTGTGGGACTTCAGCGAGGATCTCTCTGTTGTCAGACAGAGAGCCCAATACTCTAACCTGAAATGTTTTGTCTTTCAGGAAAGACCCAATCCACTGGATCAGGCCCCGAGGCAGGTCGAACGCAATTAATTTATGTAAAAGGCTTTTGTGCCAAACACGGTCGAAAGCCTTCGAGATGTCTAAAAGGACGATATGAACTTTTCTATTTCAGGGCACAATGGTATTTCGTGAAGCCGAATTGTTCGTCAGACGAGTCGAGATACATTTACTGTACGTCGCGTATTCTTTTCAATCTCAATGAAATTACTATAAATGTTTCGATTCGAATAACAAATGTCTTTGATGTCATATACAAATTGTTGGTATTCAAGGTGGAGTTTGAATCGAAGATTTTTGTCGTATTTTCGTGAAATTTATGTAAATCAGTGTAGTATGGACATTCATATTTCATTTCGGTCTCTTGTATCTGTTCATTGTATTGGAGAGTTTTATTTGATTTACATATGAATTTCTGTAGAAGCACATATATAAAATTTCACACCTAATATTTGGTTTAGTTTGATTATGACAGAGACAATGATTATGACCGCGACAAGGAATGTTATAAATCACATTTGACTTTTTTGTAGTATCTTTCAATTTAGTATTCAAATCATCAATAATTTTACTATTTTTCCATTCATCGTCCCAACAAGAAGGATAGCTCAAAATATATGTCAATAACATTTCAGTTGTATAAGTACATAGATAATATTGATTCTGTTATACCTAATGACTACTTACTGAAATCATCTAGGCAATTCACTGTTATTTCCAGTAATTTTCTATCGAGTGATGATTTCATATGTTTTTTACAACTTGTAGTACCCACAGGACAATCACGACCGTAACAGGTTGGCTGACTTTGACCTGGAACATCGGAATAGTCAAGAAACTTTAATGAACGAAGGAATACCGTTCTGGTTATTTGAAATAATCACAAATATAGGTGAAGGAAATAGAATTGAAACTTTCTATGTTTTTTACCACTTTTATTTGTAACTAACGTTACTGCAGTTTAGTCCTTTGATGACATTTTCAAACTGAAACTTCAAACTCTTTGAAAATGTTCTTACAGGAGGGAACTGTAGTGAAGTTAGTCACAAATAAAAGTGGTAAAAAACATAGAAAGTTCCAATTCCCTTTTCTTCATTATGATTTCCTACCACGTAGTAACGGCTACATCCATCAATTTACAAATATAGATAGATAACATTCAATGAAAGTGTGATTTTTATGTTGCCAAACCTACCAGCAATGTATTCCACTGATGAACCGATAAATGTTAATATAATCAACACGAATACGACTGAGTATTTCATTATCACTTTTCAAAGTATCACGAATTGAATTCAGTTGCGAACTACTAGCAATTGACTGGTAATTATTTTTTTAAACTCCTTACAAATACCCAGTTATCAATTCCATTTTTTTATTTATTCTCATCAGGGCAGAAGTTTATCGTTTGACATTGAGACTATCTAGAACAAAACTCATCCAATAATAAATAATATTGCAATACTTATTTGTTTATGAATGGACATAATTTATTAATTATTACAAGAATCAGTTTGGTTGGTGATAAACATTAATTTTCCACAAACATTTACTTGTTTCTTGCGACACCTACCTTTGTTTGAATTGTGAGGGGTATATTTTTGAGAGCCAATAATTTTTGGGAAATAAAGGACCTCTCGACACAACTACTTTCACATAAACATTGAATTAATTACATAAAAAAAACTTTTCGAAACAACTTCTTCAAATGAATTATACAAAAAACACCTTTGCCTATTAGGTTTGTACTCTAAATAGTCGTTATGGAATCGAATCAGTTATTATTCACAGGATTACTAGGCAATATAGTATATGAAAGAGGAACACTGTCATCCTCAATGGTGGGCATCCGATATGCCGGAATAATACATTTGCTTTATTACCTCTTCAGCAACAATCTGGATAACATTTGCACTCAATTCATTCATGAAATTACGACTTTATGTCACTATCATCAATGACAGTACGTTATGCCATTCATTCGCCTATTTGATTTGATTCAATCCATAGGAATTTTGTTCGAATTCAAAGAGGTATATTTTCAGAAGAGATCAATTTTTGGAAAGAAAGGTTTTGGCTCTTTCAATAAAGTGAGTGTCTTATTCCGAAACACCGGATGACTGCCAATGAGTATGATAGTGTTTTATATACTATATTGTGTAGGAATCCTGTGAATAATATCTAATTCGAATCCATTAGATTAGATTGTCAGGTAGCTGGCCCATGCTAGCTTGATCTCTTTGATGAGACTCCATAGCCTTGACACTGAACTCTTCATAAAGCTGACAGCCTCTGCTTTCTCTTTCCCGCATCTAGGGTGCCTTAGTCTTGCTATCGCTTCGTATTCACAGAGCACATGCTGTGCGGTTTATTTCTCTTCTTGACAGAACCTGCATCGGGTTTCATCTGTCAGACCCATATTGTTCATTTGATTCCTGAGTCGGCTATGCCCCGTTAATAAGACCCACCACTAACCTTACATCCTTACGGTTGTGGTTTAGCATGTCTTCCGTGAATCTGGGCGATGGGTTCTTTAAGAACTATGTCGCCTACCTCATTCCTGGAAGCTTATTCCACCAATATATCGATTCGGCTTGCATCCATGAATTTATGGATAGTTTTATACATACATGCTTTCACTACTCCGCAGAAAGGTTCTGGGCCCATCATAGCCTTGGATGCGCTTTCACGAGCTGGAACATCGGCCTCCTCATTGGCCTTGTGACCCTCATGTCCGGGTACCCAAGTTGAGTGACCCTATTTTGGACACTTAGCTCCTTGAGTGCGCTCAGACAGCTTCCCAGCAGTCTTGAAAAGACTTGAACTGAGCTGAGCGCTTTAATTGTCGTCTGGCTGTCGGAGAAAATGGCGATGGTTTTATTTGTGACCTTCTGCCTGTTTATTTCCCCTATGCAGTCGATGGCCGCTACTTCTGCCTGGAACAGTGTTGCATTATGTTCGAGGCTGAGTGTGATTCTCGTTCATGCTCTGCCTTCGTATATACCGGCCCCCAATACTTCTTGGGTCTTTGAGCCATCTGTATACCAAGTTTCTTTCGCTTTTACCAGGGTGGCGGTTTGCCAGTCCTCTCTACTTGCTATGATGATTTTGAAATCTTTTTCAAAGTTGTACTGCGGAACTGTGTTATCCACGGGCATTCCTAGTATTGGATCTGCCTTCAGTTCATTGTACAGTTCCAAGTATTCTGCACCATGTGACTGGCTGTCTGGGGTTTGCCCCTGCATTAACCTGTGTTACCAGTCGAGCTTCTCGACTGGTAACACAGGTTACAAGGAAAGTTTCTAGCATGTTTGAAACTAATATATAAAAGTTAGGCCGTAAACATATAATGAAAATTTTTCACAGAATATATGAGGAAAGCAAAACAATTCTATAGTCGATAACCTATCGAACTACATAAAAGTAATGTTTGTACTCAGTACTTAAAAATGAGTCATCGTTTGCGAAATGCTACAAATAAAGCTACTCAGGCTGAACATCTCTATTCAAATCCTCTACTTCTGAATTGCCGTATGATTCTTTCTTATCGCTATCAATTGCATTATCTCCAACATCCTTGTTCTTCTCGTCTGCAGTGTCAGTATCGTCATCCGAGTATTCATAAGCAGCTGTGTAACTGTAACCTTGGAAGAAAACTCCTGGTCCAAATTTATTCGGTTCTGAAGTTGACACCGAGTCTAAGACTTTATCTGAAAAAAAATGGAAGTTAGTAACAAAATATATTCGATCCTAAGACCACTACCGTTTTTGTTAATATTTTGAACAATATTTGAATAATATATTTCACAGAATATTCGAAGAGAAAACTCTGAATTCGATCTATCGTATACTTTTTCTTGTTTTTCATTAGAACTAATTCAAGAGGAGGTGAATGATGCTTTTTTACGAGTCTGTGGATTTTTGGGTTACTCCCAAATTCAAAATTATTTTACAGAACGTAAACTTTCTGTCAAAAAGCTCTACTACTCTCTATATAGGAATTTTAAACTCATAAAACTCATTTTATCTTCCCCAAACCTAAAATAATATTTTCTGTTACTTCAAATGATAAAATGAACTAATGAAACATTCCTCCAACACCAGACAGCAATGTTTCCTTCCACTAGTATAAACAGGTAAAATCCCTCAGAGCTCCTACCGAGCACCGTCGTATATCTATTACTTTCTTCCTTTCTTTTTTTACTGATCCTCTCATGGAATCTATTCTCTTTTTAACAGTATCCTTCATCGCATCAAGGTCTACCTGCTGTTGCTATATTCTTTGCAGTTCACATTCCACAAACAAGGGTGACTTCTATATAACTCAATAAACTCTATTACAAAATCTTTGCTCCAAGTTCTTGTATCCATGTTTGAATTATTTTTGCAAGAAATACACCCTTTTTTGAAGAGTTCTCGCTGTCGATGAATGATGGTTAAGATTGCTATGCCCACACACACGTCGACTTGCACGAACCTGTTGACACGTACGTGTAAAATTATTGTGGCGACCGTAATTCAAATTGCCGAATAATATTGTCAGTACAATGCAATTTTGCACGCACAATTTTACTCGCCACGGTTAAAATTGTCGTGCAACATTGCAGTGTATGGCGGCCTTTATGAATTTTCAGTAATTTACAATGACCTTAAATATGTAATCATTTGCGAAATGATGTTAAATGTGAAGAAAGCCTTACGGAACTCAGAGAAACGATCAAACATCCACCCTCTGATAGACTCCATTATAGATTGGATGAATTGCACGATGATAAATTATATTTTTTTTAAAAACTGAAGTATGCGCTAGTCACGCCCTATCCCCCGAAGCCCCGATACATTCGGGAGGGCGCACCAGCATTATCAACCAACGATCACTCCCCACACCGAGGGGTGAGTTATCATTGGGTCCGAGAATCATGTGCTCTGAGCAAACGCAGTGAGCCAAGAATGACAGCCTTCTGCATCTGTCTGGCTAAGATTTCTGCCTTAGTGCGGCAGACCGGTATAATTTTAAGATTCGAGAGTAGAGAGGGCATCATTGCACCAAGGACTCCAATAAATCAGAACAACCATCTTGACAGAGTGGTCTGGATAGAGTCTGCGGAGTTTGAAGAGAGAATCTCGATATTTTAACCAGTTTTCCTCCTATTTTCGGAAGATATTCGTCTCGCCAGGAGCTGAAAACTCCACGACAACACATTATTATCACTATTATTATTATTATTCAATGAATGTTAGGCGGCATAGCAGTTCAAACATATCAATTTCAGAACACAAAAAAAAAATTTAATGATCAAAAAAAAGACAATTGATAACGGCCATATTGTTGGAGATACATCTGTCAAATTAGTTGTCATTCATTCAGTCTGTTTTGCCGAATCACCATGGACGGATAAAGTGGGTAATAACACGTACAAAAAATGAAATTGATTTATCAAAATGGGTGTTCTGTTCAGGCAACGTACCGCGTGCTCCGCCTTTTTTACTATTTGCAATGTGGTGGATAAATTTGAGTCCAGTGGTTCAGCAAACGGACCAACACTCGTACGTCAATGAAACACAGGATCTGCCAGAAACATTGCCGCTGTCTGTAAGAGTGTGCAGGAGAATCCGAGGCAGTGGATTTCACGTCGCTCTCAAGAACTCAGCCGTCGCAGACCACCACTTGGCAAATTTAGCGTGGTGACTTGAGCCTGCACCCCTACAAAATTCAACTAACCCAAGAACTGGAGGTAAACGAACATAGACAACGACGTGTGTTCGCTGAATGGGTTCATGAGCAGTTGGCAACTTATTTTCAAAGAGAAATCATCTTCAGTGATGATGCCCATTTTTGGATGGATGGGTTCGTGAACAAACAAACAGCGTTCCTCAAAGCTAACTATCAAATTTAGCTTGACTTATGCGCCAGAATAATAAAAACTTCGACGTTTCCAATGCGCTCCACCCAGAGAAACTGTGGCGGACATTTGAACGATGTTATATTCCACACATACTTTGTAAATCAAAATAGTAAGAGGAATCTTCCTCTTACTATTCTCTTTTTCCTCCTCTGAATGGTATTCTCTCAGTCTTTCATCATGACTCTTCACAAAAAATTCCAAATTCACTGAGTAGTACCAGTGGAGGATTTTTAATGCTTCAATAAAATCGACGATCGGATAGAGAAGTAAATTAAAATACTTAAAGAATCTACGATTATAGGGTAGGTCACGAATTTGTGTCTTTGGTAATTTCCACTTACATTTTCTCTGAATTTATATCAAACTGTATCATATCGTAAGTTAATGTCAATGTCAAACTGATTGATGAGATCCATTTAGCATCTACATTAACACCTTGTGTTGATGTGTTGTCTATTCTGATTTTCTTCTTGGTTTTGATATTCATGTTTACTTTCCTCTTCAACACGTCGGCATTTTTATTCCATGATACTCATTTGTGAGCAAGACTGTAGTTTGTGCATTAACGAGAGTAGAGCCCAACAGCTCTAGCAATGAGATGCTGGCGGGTCAAAACAACGCTATCTGGTGTTGGATTAGGAATGCTTCTTTTTTTGTACTCTGGTTTCATCTAGTTACCTTACAGTGAAAGCTGCAGTAAAAGAAAGGGGGCGAATCTCATTTAGAGGTTGATGTGGAAGCTTGGCGTTGCAACTGACCGCCATGAGAGCCTCGTTCAAAAGCATTTTGTTTTTTCGAAAATAGCTGGAAACTATGAAACTTTACTCTTTCCACAGTAATGTTACCATTAAGCTAAGCAAATTCAATACTATAAAACACATATATAAACAAATTTTTAAACATATAAGAAATAGAAAACGTTTAGGCATCTCTTTAATTAAAAATTCTCCATGACATTTTTATAAAGTTTGCTATTTCTTTTAAACATTGTGTTGTACTTACTATGGAGATCTAAGCATTTTATTTCTGAAACAATTTCCTTTTTATCCGAAGAAATTTCAGAACGTCTGCTACAAGCGAAAGTATTTTCCGGGCATTTATGGTCGAAGCACTTCTTCAAACCTGAAACAAGAAGAGATTTATCAATAAACTCAAAAATACTCGTGCAAACTGAATGAAGATAGTCGTTGATAGAAGTGGTACATTTATTCCTCGTTTGGAGCTTTGCTCAAGAGATGGAGCTGTTACTAGCTAACAATCTTTCTCTTAGACGAAAAAGATTGCAGAATAATGGAATCGAAATAAAATATCACGAAAAAATCATGAAAGATATAAAATGCATTCTTATCGTTGAACACACTAGCATTTTGGAAGTGAATGAGGCTAGACTAAATATTAAAATAATGAAACTATTAAAAAAACATCTTTCCATTCATTTGACTCAGAAATCTAAAGATAATCATCATATATGGATATGCTAAAGAGTCATAAAAATTATCTCTGCAATTGGTCTTTGAAATTATGTTCATTCACGTAAAATCCAACTTTTGTCAAACTGATTATTATTCGAAGGTTACTTTATAAAGACAAAATTCAAGATAATATATAACTCAAAGCATTTTATACAGGATCCGTATTTAATAACCTCACATAATTATTTTTTATTTTCCTCAGATCCCAAAATGGATTGTTTATTTAATCAAACGTTATTTATGCCCATCCCAGCCAAAAATTTTCCATATATCAGGCAGACGGTTTTCGAATGAAAACAAAATGCGAAAAACTAAGAACAATACTTGATAAAAATAACTGCGTAAACGCAAGCGAGACATGAGTGGAACCACCTGTTGGTGTGACACCCAAGATAGCTTGCCAAGTTTTTATGTCAGCGTTGATGATTTGACCAATCAACTGAAACATTCCTGGAATGTCAAATTGGGAATGATGGAATATGGTACTTATCTTTATCTTTTGAATTTCATGGAATTATTTTCCAGCAGCTTGACTGCATTAATCTTTCCTGATTTTATATCCTTTCTTGAATCATGTGGATTCATTTTCCGATGACATTCCAAGAAGGCTTCCCAAGTTTCTGCTAACACAGTTGTCAGTTGATTAAACCACCAATACTGACATCGCAACCTAACTTGGGTATCACACCAATAGGTGGTTCCACTTATGTCTCGCTTGCTCGCAGTCATTTTTATCAAATACTGTTCTTGGTTTTTCATATTTTGTCTTCAATCGAGGACCGCCTTCTTGGTATTGACGATGCCCAACAGGCATATTTTGAATTTCATGAAATTATTGTCCAGCAGCTTGAAACTGCTCTTTTAACTATCTAGAAGTGCCTCTGTAAAACGCTTAAATGAAGAGGGATAGCGCATGATACCGCCTTTGAAATGGTTTTCAAATTTCACTTCAGTAATATTGCAATATTTTTGGACTTGAATACCAAAGAAAATAGCTATTTATGATATGAGTGTTGAAAGTAAGGTTTTATTTTGTGGGTGAAAAAGTTTGCGAAACGAGCGTAGCGAGTTGAGCAATTTCACTAACAAAATAATACTTACTTTTATCACAAATATCATACAAAGTTTTTTGTACAACTGTCCTGCTTTCATAATAATTTGATATTTCTTATAAAACCACATTTTGACATCTCTTGTCAGTTAACTTTTTCATGTTATCGCATTTGCTGTGAAGTGGCCGTGTCAGGTGACGCCTAATCACCTGGTTACCAACAAACAGCATTGTTTACAGCTAACGTTTTATCTAAAGTCACATTAAGAGGATTTGATGGTGTTTAATGTCTTGCATAATGAAGAACAATAGTGAGGAATTGTATGATTCTGACGATATTGAAGAGGCTGCAAAAAGAGCTTCAATTGAATTGTTACCAAAAAAAAATCGGCCACAAAATCATGTTAAAATACATTCAAAACTAATGTTAAAATATTTTTAAAACGCTACTTTGTAAAAAATCATTTGTTAATACTCTTAACAACCAATAAAAATGTCACTTTTAATGACAGTTGAACAGCCTCGAGTCAAATACCTGACACGATTAACTAGTCTAGCAGTTACCGATGATACTTTTTTGCAATACAGTTAATAGACTAGTGACGGATATTTTACTCGAGAGCTGTTCATTTTTATGAACCAAAAATTCATTTTTTATTGGGTATCCAAGTCCAAGAATGAAAAAGTGCTATATTGTTGAACAGAGAATTGAAAATCTATTTTAACGCGGTGTCACACGCTACCCTTTTCCATTCCAGAGGGGTAGCTATTACCCTATCCCTAGAGGGCTTAAAGCCAGTTGAATAATGTTTTCCAGAAAGTGTATTTTTATATATACAAATTTACCTGTTTCAGAGTTTTTCATTTGCATTCATAATTACGAAAAAAAATTAATGTATTAGTTACTTGAGGTTCTCGCTGTGTATAAGTGTGTGTGTATATATACTGTATTTGTATTATATACTGTAGAACATTTAATCTGTGTTTTGTCGAAAAGCCTAAATTAAATTATCATTGAGATATAAAGGTGGATACATTATTACTTAAAAACTGAAAGATTTTATAAAAGAATAATACTTTAATTATCGACCAGGGAAAAAACTTATATGTTCCCAGTATATTGAGGTGATAAAACTATTTATTGAACTCGGAGTCCCAAACTTGAGAAAAAAATTAGAAGGAGAAAATAATACCCCACTATCATTTTTCATATCTCCATACAGGTACGATAACCAAATATGTGAATTGTATAGCCACGTTGATAAACACTGAAATAAACACCTTATCAACGTTCTTCCATTTTTAGCAGCCTATCAATGATTTCCTACCTGATCTAATTGAAGGTCTTCCATGGATTTCCGTGGAGAAAATCGCCACGACAAGAAAAACAGCACAAAATTCGCGCAACATTTTTGCCAGCTCCTCTCGAATGTTTTGTTTGCTAGAGTACTAAACAACACAAACAAGTAAATTAGCCTAGCGTATGAGTAATTTATAAATACGTTCTGGAAAATATCGGTGATAGTCCGGAGCAAAATGTTCTTGGAGGGAATTTGTTATGTTACATCTAGCCATAACCAAACTTATACGGAATCGCTTGGTACGAATATTTTTTATGTTGGTTGAATAATACATATTTCTGTCTTAGCTGGCTTCATGAAGATTTGATTATTTATATGCTTGTAATAAATAAACTCAGAAACTCTTCAACAGTTTTCAAAAATGTCTTTATCTGTAGAAAGATATATTATCATCCAGTAATTTGAGCTGTATTTCATTTTTGAAAACATTGAAGATTCCTACAAAAACGGCAACAATGACAACCTAAGGTAACACATTTTTTCATAAATGCCATTATTTGGTGTGCACTGCTGAAACTACTATTGAGCAGCAGGTAAATCATTCTCTCCACCCTTCTATCACGTTCACAATGAAGATGGAAAAGGACGAATCAGTAAATTTTTTCGGCTTGACAATAACAAAAGTTAACAACAAAAATGATTTTTCAATGTATTTTAAACTGGCACATACTGAAAGTTATATAACTTTAACCTAGGTGGGCCAAACCACAACAAATATTTCAGATATTCTGCACAGCAAAGGTGTAACTATTGCTTTCAAAAGCAACACCATTTTAAGTATGTACATTAGGAATAACAAAGATGAAAGTTGAGTTTCAGAGAAATCGGGAGTATATAAATCATCATGCGGGTCGTGTCCGATGTTTTATATTGGTCAAACTGGAAGAACGTTCAAGGCCCGCCTAAAGAAACACAAATATAGTTTCCAGAATGGAAGAGTATCGAAATAAACAAATTCAAAAACTCTAAATATCTCATGAACGATTAAACTGAAATAAATAACTCGCCATTATTGAATCTGTTCATTTCCAGGTAAAAATAGTTAGGTAGAAGGTAATAGGTTAGAGTATGAAATGGTTGTGATTTAGAAGTAACTTTTAGTTCATCCTTGAGAAAGCTACCGTATAGCGAAACACGTGTCGCGGTTTTTGTAAAACCCTTTATACTGACAATCATACAATAAACTGTAATAATTAGTTTTAATATGGGTTTTCATCAAGTGTAAGCCAGTTCTATTCAATTATTCGAATTTGTAATTGTTTTTCCAGAATTGACATTTTATGCCACAAACTAAAATGCCAAAAATTAACTTGTTCATCCAGAATTACTCATCTATCTGGTGAAGTTTTGTAATTGCCTAATGTTGTATAAGAGTCGTTAGCCAAGCTGTTCGATGCGGGTGCTTTGTTCACTCACTCGAATTGACTGCCGTGTTGGTCGGTGGTTCAAGCCCTAGTCTGAACGACTGATTTTCACTTGCAATCTTCTAACCCGTGTCAGGAATCACACGTTAAAAGGTAAGACCTCGTTGTCTTTCGTAGGGGTGCGATAGCTGGTTAATGGTAAAACAGATTTTTTTAAACACATTAGAAATATTTGAGATTGAAAACTCTTAAGAGCAAACTAAGACAAATCGCCAGAGAGGTACCTCTTGTGGCAATGTGGCTGGGATGAATTCAACAATTTTTCATACTAAACTGGATATTCACCTACTAAAGACCAGTAATGATACCTTTCAGTTTTCAAAGAATATTCGAATACTCTTTTCTGGACCGTCTTATAACATTTATTGAAAAATTTGAAATTATAAACGAAAACCAACATGGTTTTCGAGAATCAAGGTCGACGATAACGGCTTTAGTTTCCTTTTATAGCACAGTGGTAGAACATATTGAAGGAGGTGAAAGTCCAGCTATAGTATTTTGTGATTTGAGCAGGGCTTTCGATTGTGTGAACCACGCTGAGTTACTAGCAAAACTGGAAAGATTTGGTATTAGAGAGGTAGCGAACACTTGGATATCAACATTCATAGAAAATCGTACACAGTATGTTAGTATAGCCCAAAACAATGTCAGCAAGACTCAGAAGGTCAACTCACAACTGACAACTATTGAGAGAGGTGTTCCTCAGGGGTCAATATCAGGGCCTGTGCTATTTATATTGTATGTAACAGATATATATCAGAATACCAACTCAGGCAAGTACACTGTATATGCAAATGATTTTTCTCTGACAATATCAGCTCCTACAACATCGGAGAGAGAAAAAGTGGGCACTGATGTAATGAAAAAAATGACTAACTATTTCAATGAAAACGACTTGTATTTGAATGTTGATAAGACAACGTTATATGGATTTCATAACAAACAGAAAGCATGTAACACAATAGAAATCGAAGTAAATGGCAGGCCCTCATCAAGCTCTAATGAAGGAACAATGAAATTTCTAGGGCTTTATATTGATTGGCACCTTGACTGGAAGGCACAATGTGGACATATTATTGCCAAGCTTCACTCAATGAATTACTTAGTTAGGAACATGCGTGATCTTTTAACCAAAAAACAGTTAATAACTCTTTATTCCGCTAATATAGACTCCCAACTTAGATATGGCATCTTATTGTGGGGTATGTCAACTAGGTGTGCTGAGGTGTTTATAGCACACAAAAGGATGGTTCGCTGCATGGTAGGGGTGTCTAGCTCTCGTTCATGTAGACAATTGTTTCCCCAAACTTAGGTATATTGACAACACCATGTGTTTATATATGTGAAGCAGGTATGTATGTTTTCCGAAACAAAAATAAATTCACACTTGAAGATAACGTGCACAATTATCATACGAGAAAGGAAAAAGATATATATTTTCAGACGGTCCATTTAAAGCTGAGTAATCAATCTCCAAATAGCATGGGCGCTAGATTATTCAATAACATTCCACCTCAAAGGAAAGGAAAGTTTTCATATTTTTAAAAATTATTGAAACAGTTTCTGTTGAAAAAATGTTACTATTCAGTTGCTGACTATCTCAATGAATGAATGTATGTAATCGTTTCAAATTGTTGAATTTTTTAAGTAGGTGTATGTATTATGTATTTTTATATATTTTTATTGGTGTAGAGCTATGACAACTTTCAATGCAATTTTTAGGATTGTCAATTAAGAAAGAATAAAGCAGTAAAAAAAGAAGAAATAAGAATTTTTGATAGGGTGTCACCAGGCTGCTTTCCATTGAAAGACTTGGAAAAAAATAAAATGATGGATGTAGCCGTTATTTAGTACGTGGTAGGAAATCATAATGAAAAAAAGAGAATTGAAACTTCCTATGTCTTTTACCACTTTCATTTGTGACTAACGTTACTGCAGTTTCGTTATATAAGGACATTTTCAAACTTATACACTAAACTAGTTTAATGTATAAGTTTGAAAATGTCCTCATAAGATGAAACCGCAGTATCGTTAGTCACAAATAAAAGTGGCAAGAAAGACAAACCAGTCGGGTTCCAAGTAAAAATATAAGAATTTCCATTAAAACGATGAGCATGGCCTTCTAGCTTAGGTGGGTTGATATATAGGATGTCCCAAAATGGACTTCTGAACTTTGATAATTGATAAGGAACATATTGTTGAAGCTACATCCATCAAATTAGTTGTCATTTATTCTGTTTTGCCAAATCACCATGGATGGATATAGGATTCAACAACACGTGCAAATAATAAAATTGTTTTATCAAACTAGGTGTTCTGTTCGAGCAACGACCATATGTTCGATGAATTGAAAAATCATCTTCAGCGATAAGGCCCATTTCTATATTTCTTCGAGAACGATGTTGACAGGTCATCACTGTCAACGCCGATCACTGGGTCGATGATTACCAACTTCTTTTGTCCTGAAGTGGAAGATATGGACACCAACGACATGTGGTTTCAAAATGACTGCGCTACGTGCCACACAGCTCATGCCACGTTGTATATTCTGCCCGAACGATTTGAGGCCATGTTCATCTCACGTGGAGTTGATGTGAACTGGCCACCCAGATCGTGCGATTTGACTCCGTTTGACTTCCTCTTGTGGGGTCCACGAAGGTTCTTGAAGCCAACATAACCCATGCTATCGGTCAAATTCAGCCTTATTTATGCGCCGGAGTCATGCCGTGGCGGACATTTTAACGATATTATATTCCACAAATAACAAACGAATAAAAAATATCGATGATATCTCACGCACACATTGTTTTATTCGAATTTAAAGATAGGACACGCTTAATGAAAGATCTTCTAGTTGAAGGCACTCATGAGTTACGAAGTTATCAGGCAAAACAAAACTATCTGCCTTAACTGGTGCCTTCAATACCAAAACTTGATAGTTGAAAATTAACAAACTTCCTTGTTTTCAGATTAGCCTCACATCAAGTGACTTCAGAGTTACAAAAATGCCTGGAAGACAAGCTAGACTGGAGTTGCTAAATGTATTTGAAAATACTGAAAAGGATCAGTAATGTTCTGGAGGCTCATTTTGATGCAAGCCAATGATATGAAAGACTTGATAAGATTGTTATCTTGTAGGCGAGGAAAGTCATTTCGGATAGAAGGAAAAATTACAAAATCATTAATAAATCGGAAACGATATTCGTAGTCAGGACTGTTTCTTCGTAGATATTCGTAGATATTGATTCATGAAATTATTATTAGAGTTGAATCTATTGAAGTTGCAGAAATCAATTAGAAATTTTTCTATGAGCTGATGGTAGAAAGTTTTCAATTAACGTTGCCTTCAAGTTAGCCCTCAGCAAGGGATCCGATTGGGGGAGATTTACTATTAATGGAGTATGTTGAAAGGTAAGACCTCGTTAATCCTTAGCTCGCACAAGTTTGGACTTCTTAGGGTTGTCGTTCATAGGGGTGCGACAGCTGATTAACGGAAAAACAGATTTTTTCAAACAGACAGACAGAAATAGTGTCATAAGTATATTTTTGTTCCAACCTTTGAATCCTTACAGGTTGACATCCTATAGATTATTCAGAAAGCCAAATGAAATGAGGCGAAATATTCATCTTGAATAACTTGGAAACGATTCACTTCTATGACGTGTCTATAATGTGAGTTAATCTGTCAAC